GTCAAGAAAAATTGTATACGAAAAAAAAACAATTCCAATTTTGTATTGTATTGATACTTTGAGGTCTATCAAGCTACTACGGACTCATCCATCATGCATTGACTAATTCAAACAACAAAATTTATTAGCAGTGCTAAATTCGTTGCTCTAATTAGAATTTAGTTAGGAGAGAAAGGGGTCATTTGAATCATGGGGCAATTGAACCACGACTTAGAAAATCAAAAAAATTGAAACAACGCTTCATGCTCTCAGAATTAGATTCTAATATGTTAAACTTAGATATGATCAAAATTTGAAATCATTGCGATTAATAAATTTTTAAAAATTGAGATTTTCTTATTTTTAGGCATGTAAACTTTTTTTTCGGCTGGCGACAAATTGTTTAACAATATATCTATTTTTTAATTAACTAGAAAATTGAACGCGCTTTGCGCGCTTCTGTCAAAGTGTTTATTATCGACAATTAAATTAATTAATTTTTTCACAAATATTATTCATTAATATTTAATCGTTGCCATGGTAACCGTTGCTATGATAGCCATTGCCAAAAAAGGTCACCATAGCAACGAAAAGGGACAACAATAAAAAGGTCACATCAACTTTTTAAAAAAAGAATTTAAATGTATTTTATATTGACTATAGAGTTTAAAATTCTTGAGGGATTTTACTGAAATGTAATACATTTATTTTGTAAACTATTGCTAATGATAATCTCAAAGATGATACAAATTTATTGATTAGTATAGTTATTTAAGTAAGCTTCAATTTGCATATCTTCATTTATTCAGTCAATCAAATTTTACCCCTACATTATTTTCAAGGAAAAAATTCGCCATAGCAACCGTAACCATAGCAACGGTTACCATAGCAACGGTTACCATAGCAACGATTACCATAGCAACGGTTACCATGGCAACGAAAAGCGACAACAATAAAAACTTCACATTAACTTTTTACTTAAGGATTGATAAAGTTTGAATTGTAGTAGTTGTATATTCTTATACTTTATAATCCTCAACTTTGTTTATAGTGATGTAATAGTTTATTTGTTTATTATTTACTATTAATTGTTTTAAAATTATATGAAGTCAATTGAACCAGCAGTCCCGGGGACAATTGAACCATACGGAGAAGCGTAGGACATGCGCGCGCACCTCGACTCTACGTGAAAAATACTCAGGGAAATAACCTAACAATTTGATGAACTGATTAATAATGAAAATTATTTTTAAATTAATTTTTAATTTATTTAATATAATATCTGTGCATTAAAAATGTGCAACAGTAGTATTAGCAAGTAACAATTAATATGTTATTTAACATATTAATTGTTAAAACGAGCATAAATTTCCGTGCTCGGCTACGCCTCGGACGTTAAAATTACGCCCGTTTCGAACCTTCCCGCCACTACCCTTAAGCTCATATCGAAATTTCGTTGCTGTCAGAAAGCCGCCACTTCACGGCCTTATGACATAAATATCTATTTTAAGGAGCTTTATTGTATAAACTGTTGAAATCATAGTCATAGATTTTAAAAACAAATCTTTTATATGAAAATTTTATTCACGAACAGTGAAATTCTGAATCCTCTTGACGGTTGTGTTCTCGACAAACGCTTAAATTGTCAAACTCTGAAACTTGTTTTCACATCTACCAAAGAATCAGGTACTATTGAATCGTCAACTTAAATGGACCATGAGTATGGTAATTAAAAATAGCAGCTCTGAAGAGTTAATAAAACAAGTAACCGAGAGGATTACTGCTTGAAAGATGTGACATTGACGATCCAAACATGGCATTTAGTAATTATCCGATAGTTTAAGCCCGAGAGTTGACTAGCAGTGTTGGTACGGCAGACACTAGTTAATAACGGTTGAATTAAGATAGTGGGCGGGTAGTTTGTCAAGTACTTGTGAGTGATAATACTCGTGGTAGTTTACTAAGAATAGCAACTATAGACTGTAGGAATAGTACGCCCATACATAATAAGTGGGATAAGACCGCGTCAAGAGAGATAAGTTCCTCACATATATAACACCAATGGAAATACATATAATCGTGGTATAAAGTGTCGTCAAGTGAGAATGAGAGATATCGTGACGTGTTTTCGGTGGTACCGTCAAGGTGTCGGGGTGTCTGCTTCTCCTTGTATATATTATATATTATACACAATGTACATTGTACAATATACTAAAATGTTGATGCGACGAGGTAATAGTGATAGTACCAGTAATAATGGGCTGATGCGAAGCTTGTACTGCTGGTGATGGTGATGGGGTAGAAATAGGGTGATACTGGTTCTAATAGAAATAGAAGTAGAAGTAGGGGTGCCAGTGGTAGCACTCGGTGGATTATCGGTCGTTCCAAGAATGCCAGATATTAAAATACCGCAGACTTGAAGCCTTATGTACTTATCGACCACGTACCACAATCAACCCATTTTTCTTTCGTGTATACCATCGTTTTATCATCATTTTCTTAAATTTAATATCTATTTTTTATTCACCTAAATGAATTCAATCAATCAGCCGATTAAAGATATAGATGATAGCAATTTTTATAATTTTAATCATTGATATGATAGTTAGATTTCACTTGTAAGGTGACAAAAGTGTGTCACTATTATTCTTATTTTTCTGGAGAAAATTAAAATTTTGAGAATCCACAGATTCGGTAGAATCTGGCGCCAAGTTCCGTTCAAATCCGTTGTCAACGGAGCGCCAGACTACCGACTGTGTTTACTGTAAGCAGAACGGTATTTTGAGGTTGCAAAATTTTATTTAATTCTACGGTACTTTTTTTTCCTAAATTGTATATTATAACAGTAATTCATACTTTATTTTACTGTTATTAATTAATTATATTCACTTATAACAATTAATCTACTTGAAATTACTAAATTTAATCAGCTCAAACTATAGCAACGCAAAAATTTCGATCGTGACTTTTTTTCGATGAGCAAAGTGATCTGCCACAGACTAAATAATTTGAGAATGCATAGTAATCCTTCATTAGATGGGAAACTACAGTTAAAAAAAGATATTTCACAGCTTGCATCTACACCCGCCAGGGTGCGCTGGAATTATTTTTACATAAACTGTAGCTTCAAAGGAATAGTTTGCTATAAAAAATGCAGCCAACGCGAGATTTAAGTTGGTACCAATTGTAAATTTTTATTATAATTACAAAAAATACTAAAAGCGTCATATTGTGCATTTCAATTTTTTTAAAGTCCTATTAAATAGATTTTACGAATTTAATTAAGAGTAAAATATTTTGCAACCGCGCACACTAAATACGTTCCAAAATTTTTTTTTTTAATTTTTAAATTTACAACAAAATTTTTTCTAATTTCGGAAAATCATATACAATCATATCGGTTACTTGGATTTTTTAATTTTTTTATTTTATATCTTTTTGTAAAGAAAAAACTAATTTTTTTTTTCTTAATAGTCTTATGAACGTGGACTTGGCGCGATTTTTTACAGTGAAACTGTTTTTGTTCGGATCTTAACCTACGTGGCAATGGTCGAATCTCAACCGAGCTGGTTTCTGAGACTAGCTTGGGATTCGAACCCTCGCCTAGCCGGTTAGTCCGAGTGCTCTACAGGCCGTACGCCTTTGACCATTCAGCTAACGTCGCCGGTTTTTTCTTTCTTAATTTTCTAATTCTGAAGTGATTTTAATAATCTAAAAAAATTCCCAAATGATATTTTGTGAAGTAAGCCTAGTTGGAAACAAATTATTTATAGAATATTTACACTGAAAGAAAAATTAACTTGATTCAAGAGAAAAATTCTTGAACCAAGAATATAATTTTGAAGACGGTAATTGTCTTGAATAAAAATGAAGAATTCTTGAATCAAATAAAATTTCCTTAAATCAAGAAAACTTTCTTTAAATCAAGAATATTAAGTTCTTCAAAATTATATACTTGATTCAAGAACATTTTTTTTTCTGTCTACCTCTCACAACTCTACAGGATCGTTCTAAGACTATAACAAATTTTTATTAATCTAATAAATTAAATTAACAGTCACTGCAAATGAACCTTGAAAAACCATAAATACAAAACCGTTCTAACGAAATTCAATTTAACAAAAAAAAAATATCCATTTCTTTAAATAAATAAACTAGAGACTTAATTGTCCTCATATATTTTTAATAGTATGGATGAGTAACAAAATAATTATGTTCGTCATTTTTGAAGGTTATGAAATATGTCAGCGCACTCTACTACTGCGCAACGTAAAGCCCTCCCAACTATACCGTTTGTCTCTTAGAACAATTCCGTTAAGCTCTGAGAGCTAAACAACATTTAGTTATCAGAACTAAATAAAATTTTGTTACTGTAACTCTATAACAAACAGTCAACTGTGTATAGTTATGGTAACTATACAATTTAGTTCCCAGAACGAAATTTTTTTTTCCGTGTAGAAAATACCGAACGTCAAAAAAATAATTTTTTTTCAAAAAAATGTAATAAATCTTAATATCTAAAAATTATTTCTAATTTTTTTTTAAAAGTAAAGAAGTAAAGGAAAATACCGCAAAATATTGAAAAAATGAATATACGTAAGTAATTATCAACAATAAATTTCCTTCTTCTCAACTTTATCAATTAACGAAATATTATATTGACCAATCAAAATCAATTGAGGATTCTGAGCCGTAAATTTTTGGACCCTCCAAACTTTTTTTTTATTTCCTACAAATTTATGGTAGACTTCTAGCAGATAAAAATAACAAAGAGTTTGCCATTATCTCACAAACGGGCAATCATATTTTTTTATGTTTTTATACACTCACAAAACGGCAATCATAATTTAATATTGCGACTGGCGATATTTGTGACTCATACTTAGATAACTCGAACCATAATATACATAATAATTTTCTAACTGCTTCTAAAACTGAATACGAGAAAGTTGAAAAATAAATACTTTAAAAGTGATTACCATCAATTGTTCTTAAACAGTCTTTAATTAAAATATTTAACAATGTTGAATTTGTTTTCAATTTTTTTATTGAAAATATTCTCGATTGTGACGATTCTGAATCTGCATGATGCATCTGTAGTCGCAACCAGCATGGATCGCCTGAAAAGATTTAACGGAGTTCAACAGTGGTACTATTTGTGGCCCGAGGGTCGTATTCCTTACATAATAGATAGTAGTTCATTTGGAGGTCCAGAGCGAAGACTTATGAAACAGGCGATGCGAGAATGGGAAAGATCAACTTGCATTAAATTCATTGATAGACAAAATTTTATCATCCATCCAGACTATGTGTACATCACAAAATCAAATGCTGAGTAAGTAGAATGTTTTAGTTAATTACAACAATTTATACTTTTAATGATTGCTACTATTTTGTTAATTTGCTAACGAAGGGTGTTACACCAATGGCGTTGGCAGAAGTCATGCCGGTAGAAATCATGTGTACTTGGGTGAAAACTGTTTAACTAAAAGAATTATGCTGCCCGAATTGGGACACATAATCGGATTACATCATGAACACAAGCGTTCAGATCGCGATAAATATGTAAGAGTTAATATCGACAACATAAACAATCAAAAAGGTAAAGTTTTCCTTCATTTTGCACGCCTCATAAGCGAAGCGTTGAGGTTGTGCTCTACTCTCGACATTTAAAAAAAAGCAGTTTTCTCGAAACTGAAATTGATTTTTTGTTATTTATATCGCACTTACAGGTTAATATGAGTACACTTATATCAAGTCGAATAATTTGTCAGGCACATAAAATATATTTCAATAACAATTTTTTTGTTTAACATAGTAAATAATAACATTTAACATAATTTTTTCTGGACGTCCGTGTATGGATGAGTGTATGTGGCAGGGAAATTGGTCGAAAAAATGATCGTACCGGAACAATTTTTTTTTTATTATCTAAAGTAACACACGAAAGATTTTCCTAATTAATATGAGCGTTCAATTCACTGTCGTTAAATTATTATTTATAAAAAACTAATATATGACTGTGGATTTTTTTGTATATCTATCTATACATTTTATTATAGTATTTTTTTTCCTCACCTTAGAGTTATGGCGCCACTAAACCATAGCAGAGTTTTCTGTTTTTTATTATTTTGCTTTTTATATTTTATTTTAATCAATTTTATTGTGAAAAATGAGATTATGAGGCGTGCACTTTTGGATTTTCCAAACTTTCTTCTATTTTCATCATTTTTATGATAAAAAAATCGGTAATGTGGATTTTTAATAGGCGTAATGAATGATTTTGAGAAATTATCATCTGAAGATGCCGTTACATTTAATCAGACATATGATTACAATTCGATAATGCATTATCGTACGAATGCATTTGCACGTGACCGATCTAAACAAACCATAACTCCTTTAAAAGCTGAAGATATTCAAATCGAAAAAATTGGCAGACAAGAACGATTAAGTGAAATTGACATTCGTGGTGTGAAAATGCTCTACAATTGTTCTGGTAAGTTTAAATTGTAATTATTAAAACACATATTTATTCCAAGATGAAAAATAACGAAAATAAACAGGTTACATAACGTTCTCTCTGCGTTGAGTAAAAAAATAATTGTGACCTTTGGCTTTCTAATCATATCATTTAATATGGAAAAAAGGTCCGGGAAAAATTTTTTGATATTACCTGATCTAGCTATATATGGCCATATTAAGCTATATGTTAAGATAAACATTAGTTTGTTATAATTTTTTATTTTTTCTAGAAATATGTTCATTACACCGGCACACAAAAAAAAAAGTAGAATGTACTTTTGACCGGACCTACCTACCGACATGTATTTCGACCCGCTGAATCCAAATTTCAAGTCCGTTTGGCCCGGTCACCCTCCAGTTTTGAGTAACATACAAAAAACCTCGAAAAAGGGCAAAAAATTGCAAAAAACTGCAGTCACAGCAATAAAAAAATTTTTGTGGACCCGGATCACGTATGTTTTTTATGTATTTCAATTTACTGAATCTAAATCTAGAAGTTATTTAGCCCGATGAGCCGTTCAAATTTGAAAAATATCGAAAAACCTAAAAAAAATTGCAAAAAATCATGAAAAATTGAAGTTTTCGAAATAAAATTCGTTTTAGACTCGGATTGAGTATGATTTTCATGTATTTTGTTCCGTTGAGTTTGAACACTGAAGTTTTCTTTCCCCGCTAACGTTTTAAAATTAAAAAAAATCTCAAAAAACCAAAAAAATCGGGAAAATTGCAGTTACAAATATGAAAAAAAAATCTATAAAATATGATTGAATACTTTTTTTGTATTTTTTCACGCATAAAATACAAGTTGAGAATTTGAAAATATGAAAAATTGTAATTTCTATAAAAAATGACGTATAACTAGGATAAAAAGAACGATTTTCTCGAATTTCAAAATGTTCTTCGTTGGTATCGAACTCTTTTGTTCTCAAACGATCTATAGATCGTATACGCAGTGGATTTTCCTTCCGTTTGTTATTATCTCTTGGTGTATTCCTTTCAAGTGACCAGTGAACCACTGCTATGTGTACTACTATTGTTTCCAGTATTTGAAAAAAAAAATTTCTGCGATAAGTGATGCAAAATCAAAAGAAGGAATTTTTGATGGATCCCAAATTCGAACTCTATTTCAGGATCCAAATTTTATACAGTAAATGAACGAGACGGAGAGAGCAGCTTGGGTAAGTTTCAAAAATGTGTCTCAAAACTTTTTAGGAAATCAAAGAAACGAAAACAACAGGACGTTAGTAGAAAAATTGGTGACAAATTACAAAAATTTAGTTTTCTTAATGAACCTCAAACTACACTTCATGTTAACAACAACGTCATAAATAAATACTAATAAAAAGTTATTTACATTTTCTTGACGTGAGCAAAATTTTAAGATTAATAGAAAGATAATTAATAAAAAATTAATTTTTTTTTGCCCTTGTGAAACTTCATAAAATTTAAATATGTCATTATTTGCCTTCTATCCCTCAAAAGTTAAACTTATGGAGCGATAATAACAAAAAATATTGTATGTCATTCGACCGTTTAGTGACGATTTTGACAACGACTTTTTTTCGATATTCGCTTTAATGTTTGTGACGCGAATGTTCAAAAACGAGCGTAAATTTCCGTCCTCGGCTACGCCTCGGACGTTAAAATTACGCCCGTTTTGAACCTTCCCGCCACAAACCTGAAGCTCATATCGAAATATCGTCGCTGTCAGAAAACCGCCACTTCACGGCCTTATGACATAAATATCTATTATTGCTGTGACTGCAGTTTTTTGCAATTTTTTGCCCTTTTTTGAGGTTTTTTGCATTTTACTCAAAACTGGAGGGTGATCGGGCCAAACGGACTTGAAATTCGGATTCAGCGGGTCGAATTACATGTCGGTAGGTAGGTCCGGTACAAAGTACATTCCACTTTTTTTTTTTGTGTGCCGGTGTTATCTAACGTGATTTATCAAACGAAAATCGATTTAGCAGTTGATTGAACTAAAATTCCGTGTCAAATAAGCTCCTTAACAAAATGAAAAAAAAAATGATATTTATTTTAAAAATTAACTCTTCAGACTTAACTCTGTCGTAACGAAACGATTCAGCGAACATGCGCACTCTATAGGATATTTTCGAAAATAATTTTCATCGAAAAATTATATATGGGCATAGGTGTCGTTATCAAACTGGATATGCCCGTTTATAAGTTGAGAACGCTTATTTTAATATCAGGCCATATTAAAAAATTTTTTCGCAGAGACCTCTTATACTACTTTAGGTCGAAAATTTGTATGTAGGCATTTATTACCATGTCAGACTGATGTGAGCAAAATAAGTTATTTTTGGGTATATTCATCTATATCAAGCCAGAAATGTCCCGATACCGTCAATTCGAGTATAGGCATATTAGAGCATATAAAAAATGATACATAGACATATTACGACCTTAAATTTTTTTACGGGACATCGTTGACTTAATATTTGAATTTTTTCATAATTTTAGTATGTGGCCAATTATTAGAAAATGACACCGGAACATTGGAAACAACTATTTATGTGAATACTTCAACAACTACTGCAAAACATTGTGAATGGAGCATTGTAGCATCGCGTGGTGAACGAATTGTCCTTGAGATAACAACGTTGAGTATCCTTGACAGTAAGGACTGTACGATTGATTATTTAAATATCAGAGACGAATATAAAACTGGATATAATTCCTTAGGTTTGGAATCATTGAAAACGTACTACAAAGAGTAATTATATTTATTCAATCATTAATAATTAAAATTCATCCTCGCAGGTCGTTTTTGTAGAAAAAAAAGCACTACGCAAACAGTGGGTTCTAGTGATAGTCGAATCCTTGTCACCTATCACGCTAATAATGCTAATGAAGAGTATTTTGATTTTAAAGCAAAATACCATACATATTTTGAAGGTGATATTGAAATAAACAACAAGGACCAAGAATATTTCTTAGAATCACCAGGTTTTCCAAACGAGTATCCTCCTAACAAATATAGAGTATGGTATCTAGTTGCCCCTTTTAACAGCAGACTAATTTTAAAATTTACTTATTTTGATCTTGAGACATCTGATAATTGTAATAATGATTACGTTGAAATTCGAAATGGTGATGCTTATTATTCGCCACTAATTGGAAAATATTGCAATAATACTAGCCCAGAAGTGATTTGGTCTAAAGGATATGCCTTATATGTTAACTTTGTTAGCAATAGCAAGGTTCAAGGAGGTGGATTTTCGGCAATCATAACTTTGCGTTAAAATATAACTCTTCAGTAAAACTTCCTGTCCATTTGATCTTTTTGTTCACGTTGTAATTTGGATTGTTCACGTTGTAATCTGGATTATACTAGCTACTATCTAAAATTTTTTTTTACTAAGATTATAATCTGGGATAATATCCAGTGTCATCTTGTTCTTTCCGTGTACTTATACTTTATAATCCCCAACTTCGTTTATAGTGATATAATAGTTTATTTATTTATTGGTACTATTAATTGTCATAAAATTATGTGGGGTCAGTTGAACCAGCAGTCTTCGGGACGATTGAACTACGGAGAAGCATGAGAGATGCGCGCGCATCGTGACTCTCCGTGAAAAATACTGAGAGAAATAACCTAACAATTTGATGAACTGAATTCATAATAAAAGTTATTTTAAATTTATTTAATATAATATCTGTCCATTAAAAATGTGCAATAGTAATATTAACAAGTAACAATTAATATATTATTTATTAAAAGTTCGGGTTTGAGTTTTAAATAATATTGGTTCAATTGACCCCGAGCAGTGGTTCAATTGCCCCTAAGCGAAAGTCATTTGATACCTTTATACAAATTAATAATTTTTAAAAATTCACGTTGTTTATTGACTAATTTATGTATTGATAATGATAGTAGACATAATAAACTACCATTCAGAGAAAAAAAAATTATTATTTAGTTTTAATTCAAATAATAAAAAATTGCTAAACTTTCTTGGTTCAATTGACCCCCTCCTCCCCTAATTAAGAAATTGTGAAATTTGTATGAATTAAAATTTAATTTTTTTCACTGTTTTTTTGTAATCATAAGACTGCATTGATTCTATTTTAAAGAATGCTTTGTGAGTTTATTGTATTTTTACAAAAAAATAGCAATCTGTTGATAAAAATTGTATCGAAACTATATTGCATTGTTCTGTCAAAAATGATAGAATAGAAGTAATAGAAAAGAAAGATGCAGAAGTGGAAAGGATTATGTAAGAATAAGGTATAAGTATAACAATCTAGAATAAAATAGTGTCTCGTCGATCTTGTCGCAGTCGTAGAATTGAGCCAGATAAGAGTATAAGGTGAGATCGATGGGTGATCTAGATGTAGCGGTGAAAAAAGAGTTGAGAGTGTGAAGTAAAAAGAAAAAGAAATAAAATAATGTCGAAAGGGAAACGAGAAAATGGTAAAAATCAGCGCCGGGTGTCAAATAAAAAAAAGGAAAAATTGTTCGCGGAACATTATAGCGTTTGATCAACGAGTTGGTGAACTTGTTGAATTTTTTATCAGTAAAGTTATAAAAATAGATGGGGCTGTAATTTAATTTTACTGACCGTGAAAATAACGTTTTGGTTTACTGATTGAAGTTTCAGAATAATTATTTTCTGATGCGCAAGTTAATTTTTTATTGCATCTTGGTTTATTTATTTATTTATTTATTTATTTATTTATTTTTATGGATTTTATTTGGTCTGTTGTAAAAAGATGTTTATTTTCCTGTACTATTGGCATTGATCAACGGATTTCAATTCCCAAAGTCTTTTCTTCGAAATGCGAAAGAACAAAGTAACTTTCAGGGGGAAATCTGTATTATTGGATTTGCACAAGATTAAATGTACCATCACGAAGCTCATGAAGACTCCAAGTGTGTGTCTATCACACGAAACAATAACGCAGGAGAGTGGGATACCAAGAATTTCGATCACTAGATCTATCGATAGTCACTAGATCTATCTATCGATAGTCGGTGTCAGGGAAAAAAATAGTTAGTTCGTTTATTGATAATTAATATTAATTGTTGATTTATTGCACGACTCATGATGCGAAGTATCAGAGAGTGCCTTACGATCGGAAAATTTTTTTCGCCTCATTTCGGCAACTATTTTTATTATTTAACACTTGTTAGCTTATGAAATAAAAATATTTTGCATACTATTGTCAAGATAATTTAAAGGAGATTAATTCCAAATTTTTCCAAAATTTATTAAGTGCAATAAAAAACGGAAAAAAAACATCAAAATAGTTTAAAAAATTTTCCTGTCCGTCATGTATGAATCCCTGATAAAAACACTGTAACTTGCGAAAAAATCCATTGGTTGAGTCAAAATTTTTTTGGAAAATGATCTATCCATGCAAATGGCTAGTTAACTTAGAGTTGTTTATTAGCAATTAAAAAACAGCCAAAGTACTGTATATCTATATATATTGAGTAAATTTATCCTACTAGAGGTGCGCGCGCGTTATCATCCTATTTCAGCTGTTTGATATTTTTTTTCACATTCGCTTTATTTTATTATTATTTCATAATTAAATGAGCATTATGAGTCGTGTACTTTTAAATTTTCCAAATTTTTGTATTTTACAGTGGCGAGATGTTTTTAAACTTTGTAGTTGGGTGGGGAGAGAGGGGAGTCATTACTTTGAAACAAGTTGCTTTAATATATTCTCGAAGGAAATGTATGATGATCAATATTAATAAAACGCAGAAAGTTTATCAGAAATTCTTTTTTACTAAATAATGTAGGGCTTACTTGGTTTGTTTGGAAGAAAAGTACTGGAATGTATGAATAAATTTTTAATGGACATTAAAGTAACAAAATGAATTTTATTTTTTTGTGTTTTATGTTTCAGGTGAGTGTCACAAACATTGGATTTACTCATATGGAAACAGAAAGTAACAAATCAACTATTTGTGAGTCGAATTTAAAGAGTATTTTTAAATTACAGTAATTAAGCTGAACAGCAAAATCATCTAAATTAGAATGACTAAATTTCAATGATTTCGTAAATACACCCTCCAAATATACCAAATTTCCTCGAGCTACTTGCAGAGAACAGTTAGCCATCAACTTATTCGATAATACTACATGCAAACAGCCTGAATTTACAATGACCCAAGAATAACTGTGCAATTCTGCAGGAAGTTGGCTGTAAATAGTAAAATTTATTAACTTCAATTGAAAGCGAGCCGTATGTACGACAATTGTATGAGTGCATAACAAGAAAGTTTGTGTTAGTACAGCTTATTCCTGTTATGGTTCTTATATATAATCCGGATCGCTCTAAGAGATAGAATTTAGGTTAATAATAAAGAAGGTAGAGAGATCAAAAGGATAAAAGGATTTGCAGAAAGACGTCTAAATATTTTATTTTTCAATTATCTTGAGTAAGATCATTAAGATTGCTCTATTAATTAATATTTAATAAAAAGCTATTATAATCTAAATGGATTTTTTTTTCATCGCTGGAATTATCTCGATATTAATTATCGATATTATACCTACTTTATTATTTAATTGTAATGAATTATAAATTTTAGTATTGAGTTTTTAAAATATATTTATGAAGTACTAATGGTCTCATAAACTTTATTTATTAGAAGAGGAAGGAGCAAAACGGGATTTATGCAGATTTTTTTTTAAATTGTTCAGAATATCGTATTCTTTAATAAACTACTTTTTCGTTAGAATTGTGAAATTCTTAGAATGAAAAAAATTCTCATATTCTCATGCTTCTTCTATATTACATTTACAAAAAATGTCACTGTCAAGTGCAATTATCTCATACTATGTGAGGTAAATCGTTTTCAAATTTAACATCATATAATATGTATTATGCGTTTAATGTCTTATATTACAAGTTTCGAGGATTTCATACTCAAATTTTTCACACTTATGACAATAATTATTGCACCCAGCATTTTTCCGGAAAACGAAAATACTATTTTCTAATAATTACATTTGTGAGACGATCATAAATAAGATCACATAAAATTACAATTTAAAGGCTTTCAAATGTAATACTAGATTTGTATAATTTATTATTTACACGTACTAATGTCATTGATATGACCTCATGAATTACTGATAAACTTGTCTGAAGCATATCGTGTGTTGATTATTAAGTAATAATTCCTTAAAGATAATGAGAATAAAATTTCTTGAATGACAATTATACGTTCTTACCATTCATCACCAAAATAATGTGTCTGAACCGTACGTAAAAAACTCTTTCTAAATGGTAATTAGCTTCTAGACGTGAAATTTCATTGAATCATGTAATCTGCCATTAAATTTTCATTTCTGACACCTATGCAACCCTTCTCAGAGGTTCGAGGACTGCAATTTCATAACTTTCTTTGTATTTTGAGGTTTGGAAGTCGAAAAAACATGTATATACAGCGTTTGATATCCCCGCAACCTTCCTAGTAGATCAAAGTAGGTTTATTAATAATTTATTGTGCAGAAATAATCAAAAATAATGCTCCGGGTGAGGATCGAACTCACGACCTTAAGATTATGAGACTTACGCGCTGCCTACTGCGCTACCGAAGCCGATGAGCACCACTAAAGCCTGTATCGTATAAGTTGGCACCCACTGTAGAATAAAATCGTAGTAAGCCAGCATAGCTGGGTGGTCAGGAGTCATTCACTCACATCTGTTGAAATTCTATCGTAATCGGCGGAAAAATAAGAAAAAAAGTGGAATTTGCAAAAATTTTTTTGTTGTTTTTTGAAAAGTTATAATCATAAGAAAAAAGAGTGAATTAAAATCGAAAAAAGTAATTTTTAACTCTTAAAACTATACTTTACTATTAAGTGTTTCTAAGATAGCTAACTTATTTTGTTAAGTTTTTGGAAGAGTTTAATGTAGACAAGAATATCGCGTGGTTATTTATTTATTTTTTACCTGCTCAAAATTTTGTGACAGACATATCTTAATTATAAAATGAGTTTCTATAATAGAATTATGTTTCATAATAAAAGTAGTAACCTGAATTTGGGCCTCTCCCCGGTTTAATATTTTTAAAAGGATAAACAATTTATCATTTAAATAAATAAAAGAATAAGGAAAAATTTGTAATGGGCATATGCTTATTTCAAAAAAAGTTTTTATAGTTGAATTTGGTATAATCAGAAAGGTCTTCACGTAAATTTGTGCCTTTTCTCGATTTTATGCATTTTTTTGCTGGTAGTCAATTTTAATGTCAAGTTTTTGGAGGAGTTAGGAA